GACACTGGTTTTTAAAACGTTCGGAAATCCTAACTGTGGTAAGCCTTAAACATATTAAATAGGAAAGGATAACTGACCTACCTCTGATTTCCTGAACTTTGCTGTTCTTTTATTTGGCTGCAAGGGCAACATCCTGCCAATAGCTCTGGGGTGCCTGAATAGTGCATTGCTTCCCTTGGAAGGAAGATGTACATGAAAGAATTTTGTGTGCAGTGGTTGACAAACACAGAAAGAAGATAAGTGACTAAGAAAAAGGTAGGCCCTGTAAGGTTAGAGGAAAAGCCAGCTGGCTTAGTCCTAGTGCTTCGAGCAGGAGGAGCAAGGAGTGTTCATTTCATTTCTCGTCTCCTGAGTTTATTTAAATCATCTGCTGGGGTAGGGGAAGGAAAGAAAGCATGATGTATGAGGCTGATTAAGATGCAAACATGCAGATTATATCAGGCTACTTACAGTCCTTTTCATTCCAGCCTAGAAAGAGAAGACTGTATAAGAAACCTGATCGAAGGGAAGGGAGAGGAGAAAGCAAAGACATCTCTTCACTTTTTAATGGAAGAGTTCATGGATATCTATTGGTTTTGGGTTTCTGGTATCCATGCCACCCTAACAGATCATCCAGACTAGCCCCTGGCTGAAAGCCTGGCCAGGGGGTTTGGACCAGGGGCAGATGCCATTGGGAAGAGGGTCTTCAGGGACTGCTGGCATTAATTTTGCTAAAGAGACCTCATCAGAGACCAAGCCTCCTCTTGCCTACAGGTGGTGGGCCTTGGAGAGGGCCTCCATGGAGATTTCAGCCTTACCCCCTTCTCCAACCTCTCTGCCTTCTGCTTTTGCATTGGGACCTCTCTTTCTCTCTTCCCCCTTTTTTCAATTAAATGAATTAATTACCAGGCGTTTAACTTTTTGCCAGACTCTTTTATTATGCCCAGAGTTGTTGCTGAGTGGCAAAGGGAAGTAATAACATTCACAGTGAGGGGCAAATCCTGTTAATGAACAAATTAAAGTTCAAACAGTGATTCAAGTTCACAACCTCTCTGTGGCTCTTCTCTTTTTAATAAGAGTTATACATGTTACTTTCCTCGCTCTTTTCTCCCTTTTATTACTTTTTAAGCTTTTCATCAACACTGCTGGGGCATATTTGAGGCTCCCAACCTTTCAGCCCTGACAAGGACTCGAGCAGTTATAATCCTGTCTTAATTTGGCAACTTTTGTAAAACACATAAAGGGCCCAGGGTCACCTTTGGTCGCCAAGGCCCCGGGTGACCCTATAGCTTCCACCTCCTGCCAGGGCTGCATGGGCCACTCTTCTCAGTATTCATGCCCCTCTGGCAGTCAGGAACAGAAGATTCACCTTCCCGCCCCGACACAGCCAGGCAGAACCTGTCCACAAGTGAAGTGCTCGATCCCTTTCTTCTCTCGGTCCCCTCTCCAACAGTCCTTTCTATCCAGCAGCTCTGTGGGGGCAAAGGGCCGCTATGGGGAGGGAGGAGCCTACGGACTAAAAGCTGGAAACCTTTATGGGGAAATGGAGTTGAGGTGGGACGGATGCCCGACCCCCTCTCCACTACCACTACCGAATGCTGCTCGCCTCGCTGAGGTCGCCTCACTACCCTGTTCCAAGTGCAGGAGGCCCATTCCTCCTTAGGACCTTGACTTGAGCAGAGCCTAGGCCTGGCGGGAAGAGCCCAGGAGGGGTCCGGTCCCCGCCTACTTCTCTCCCCTCTCTCTCTTTTTTTTTTTTTTTGTACTGTGGATTGCGTGGGGGTCTTTTCCACCTCCGCGCCGGCTTCTCACCACCATCCCCCGAGCATGACTAGATATCATCACCATGACAACTGCAATCTATGAGCATACACATAATAGAGATGAAATAGACAAAAGATTAGCATGCCATGAAAAGTACAATAAGTTTCTTATTTAGCATTTAGATAACTGTCTTTCCTTCGGAGCAAGCTTCAAAGTTGAAGCCAGTTTAGACCAAGAGGATTAATTCTTTCTCCCGCATGCTTCATTGAATCTCTCATTACCAAACTTTGTCTGTATTGATGTAAGATTTGATTGAAGATTAGAGCATTTAGCAAATCTTGCTTTTCTGCATGTATCAGGTCCTTTCAAGCACGGATCTCGGTGCCCAGTGGTCAATACCCTTACTTTTATCCAGTGTCTGCTTCATTTAAACTTAATCAACTCCATCAATGAACTGGAACAGGGAAACGTCCCTGCGGTAAGAATGTTGTGCTTTTGTGGGATAATTCTTTGCTCTTTCCCGATCTGTTGGCGTTAAACCTAAAATTGCACTATGATGAACTTTTTTTTTTTAATCAATATGATAATGACAATTGGGTCTGAAAGCTCTGGGAGGACTTGGAGTAGAGTGGGATCTGGCCCCCATTACCAAAATAACTTCTTGTTCTGCAATAGTCGGACTCCTTTTGTGTGGCTTTAATACCTTTTCTTCCCTGACATTGAATATTGCTCAAGCTGGAAAATGATGCATCTTTGTAGGGAAGGCTCGTATGTCACAGCCAGAAAGTGAAGCAGACCGATTGGTTGTGTGAATTATCTGACTTGCTGCAGTGAATTATTTGCACTGTTTCCCTACCTAGTCAACAAGTTCCTGAGGTATAGTAGAGATCAATCAAAACTGACAGCCCGCGTGTGAAGGCTTTACTGTGTAAATCTGGCGCACTCATCCTGGCCATGCCGGCCCTGGCATCTGTATATCATTTTTATACTGCTACCAGTAGAGCAATTTCAAAAGTATTTGCAAGGAAAATGCGTGTCCCCATCTGTTCCTGGAAGCATAAATGTGCCACCTTCAGAGGGTTTTCACTGGTAATCATATCTTTAATGATCAACAGACTAGTGATATATACCTTTCCATAAAATGGGGTTTTCTTCACTTTATTGTGATTGGCTAGAATAAATAGCTTTTCCATATGTTAGGGAGATAAAATATAAGATTAGCAGAGGTCGTTTGTTGGATAGTAAACAAAAGAAACAATTCATTCCAAATAATCTTTGAAAAGAAGCAACGACAAAATTAAGTTGTAATCACAGAGTATCTGAGGCCCCAACATCAGAAAACAGACCTCATTCCTCCTTGGAAAAGGAGCCGTTTAAGAGCAGAAACTCAAGAATCTTCTAGGGGACTCTGGTGACTTATTCCTAGAGTCAGAGGGAGGGACAGGATATGGAAGGAGAGGCTGGAATAATACTTGTTTGTTCAACTTCTGTTGTAGGATTATATTTCCTTTCTCTTGTCTCAGGTGGTATTTGGCCACCTCCACTGCAGCACCCTGGGTAAATTGGTAGGTGATGTGTTCAGAAAGCAGGAAAATGCCACTCTACTGAATTTCTCTTCAGGCCTTTCAAGGAGATGGGGATTGTTCACATACTTTAAAATAAAGGTTAACTTCACCTAGCCAGAGATTTCTCTTTTCCCGTAGAAAAAGATGTCGGAGGGTGGGGCAAAGTTCCCAGGTTTACGTGAAATTCCAAAACCTAGGGAAAGGGGCCTCAAGAAAATAGCCAAAACTTGCTGGAGAAACCCCAGGAAATGTTCTTAGTCATCGAATTCCACCTGTATAGGTAACAGTCTGCAGATACAATCAGGCCCTGACCACTATCCTTCCTCCTCCCACACACCCATGCTCAGCGCCAAGTTTCCTTTTTCTCAGATGCAGCCACTTTCAGTTTGCTGAGCCATCTGTTTTTTTATTTTTTTTTGACAGGGTCTCGCTCTGTCACCCAGGCTGGAGTGCAGTGGCTCTCCACTGTGCGTGATCTCAGCGCACTGCAACCTCCAACTCCCGGGTTCAAGTGATTCTCATGCCTCAGCCTCCTGAGCAGCTGGGATTATAGGTGCCTGCCACAACACTGGGCTAATTTTTTTTTTTTTTTTTGTATTTTTAATAGAGACCAGGTTTCACCATGTTGGTCAGACTGTTCTCAAACTCCTGACCTCAAGTGATCTGCCCACCTCAGCCTCCCAAAGTGCTGGGATTACGGGCGTGAGCCATCGCGCCCAGCCTGCTGAGCCATCTTGGCGAAATTTGGAAGCTTCTCCTTCAAGATTCTGGGCCCAGAGGTTTGGAGGCAGTGACTGCCTGCTTAGGAGACTACAATTCTATTTTGTCTTCAGGGTTCAGACAGAACTCCCCATTCCACAAAGGATTGATATTAGTTGCAGGTCACCAGAATCTGAATGATGCCCTCAGCCTTTGTGCTCTCCAGAAAATAGGTGTGAGCTATGAGGACCTGCTCCCTGTGGTCAGGACTTGAGAAGGAATTGGGGGAGGTTCTCTTTAAATACTGGGAACAGACTCTGGTTCTGCATTCTTTCCTGTTATCTCTTGTTATGTATGTTATATATTTATGATCTCCCCACCCCCTCATCCCCACTACTTCCACCCTTATTCCACAGAATTCTTTGCTGTACCCAAATGCCTACTGCTCTTCCTGCAGCAGGAGTGTGTAGCAGAAGTGTGTTAGTTTCAATGTGGGAAAGGTGGTCTGTAGGCAGATCCCAAGCAGAAAGTTTCCATTAGCATCTCAGATCAAATTTGTGTTTATTTCCTGGCCCTAGAGAGACTTGGGAAAAACTTTTAGGACAGCAGAAAAACAGCTCGCCCAAAGCCCATGGTGAGAAAAAAAAATGAGTAACTAAGTAAATACTTTTGTCTTCTTAATTTTAGAAACAGAATATATATATACACATACACATACACACACACATACATACACACTTTTTTTTTTTTTTTTTTTTTGAGACGGAGTTTCGCTCTTGTTGTCCAGGCTGGAGTGCAATGGCACAATCTCGGCTCACTGCCACCTCCACCTCTTGGGTTCAAGTGATTCTCCTGCCTCAGCCTCCCGAGTAGCTGGGATTACAGGCATGCACCACCACGCTTGGCTAATTTTGTATTTTTAGCAGAGACGGGGTTTCACCATGTTGACCAGGCTGGTCTCAAACTCCTGACCTCAGGTGATCCACCTGCCTCAGCCTCCCAAAGTGCTGGGATTACAGGCGTGAGCCACCATGCCCAGCCTAGAAACAGAATCTTACAGGCTGGGTTGCACATAGGCAGGTATAGACATATAAGTCTAGATTTACAAGTAGATCACACTGACCTGAAACCACATTTCCTGTAGTATGCAGTTAGACTAAAAGAAAGTCACATTTGTGTTTTCCACATTGTGATGTGATGCACTCCTGGTCTTCAGTGAATTCGCTTGCCACAAGGAAATTCTGGCATGTGTTGTATGTGAAATGTGATGTGTACTCAATTATAAAAATTGAGTTTCCTGATTTCTATGTCTTTAAATTTGATACACATTTTGTATTGAATTTCTATGTTAATTGTTTTCATAAAATGAAAAGAAGTAAAAACCTCACCAACTGGTTTTGTGTAGAAGAGGTAAATCTGTGACGTTTGCTTCTTCCCTTGTCCAGGAGGGTGAGGCTGTCACTACTACAGTTAGGACCGTTTCATACTCCGTGCTCTTTTGCTATGCTGGGGTTACTGTCTAACCCACAAGCCTCTGCCAGGAATGTTGCCATACACCCTGGAGTGGAAGACACCTGCGGAGCTCATCTGTGGGGCTCATGTTGGCTGAGGCTCTGAACTGCAGAATTGCAGGCATCCAAGGGAGTGCCCCAGGCACCCAGGTTTTCCTAAACCTTAGATCAGAGCCATTTGCAGCACAGAGTTGTGTGCTGTTTCAAAACCACAAACCCTGTATAGATGCCCCTCCATTGCAGAGGTGGACATCTTGGCAAATGTAGGATGAAGATTGAAAATTAAAAAACAAACACACCGTGTTCAGGGTGAAAATTACATACATTGACAATACTGTCTCTTTTCCTCCACAGTCTTACTGCCACCAAGCAGCCTCAGTCAGTTCGTGCTTATTTCACTGAAAATGTACTTAATCTCAGAAAAGCTAAGCTATCTATATGTAAGAACATAATTTGTTAGTCAGTTTTATGAAAACAAAACTCCTCTCACCTTAAAAGAAAATATTTAACCTAAGATATAGTTGAATAAAGTGCTAATTTGAAATACTGCCTCATGATTTGTAATATGCATACATATGTAATACTATTTGTTTTTTGGGTGTACCTTAACAAGACAGGGATGAGCAAACTATATGGTGTGTGCTGGAAAGAAATTCAGTTTTAAATGACCTTAAGGAAATGGCTTGTTTGGTTAAGGAAAATAAACTCAATTGACAGTTAAGGTGAAATGAACTTGTAAAATTTGGTATCAGTTACAACCCTTATCGATAAAATGCTACCCGGATCTTTAAAATGCCAAGGTGTTCAAAGTTATCAGAAAAATTTTAATTAGGGGGGTTGAAGTGTTTTTGTTGTTGTCGTTATTGTTCTCCCTCGCACTGAACAGCATAGAAGTAATAGTTTTTGTCACTGCAGGCTTCTATTGGGGGATTTTCATCTTGTTCCAGAAGGAAGTAGCAGGAAAGCAACTTGTATAGTTAACAGCCTCAGTCCAAAGGGCATTATTTCCAGGCAGAATTTCTATAGTTACCCTTGTCTAGGAACACTGTTAAGGGATATGTTTTAATTTTAGGTCAGAACAACTGGGTTAAGCATTATATAAGATTTGGAGAAAACACTGATGAGGGAAGATGGAGGAGAAAGGAAGCAACATTAGTTTATGCGGCCAAAGGACTACTCGAGGCACCAGTGAGGAAGGGTAATTTAGATTTCTAGTGGGCACCCTGCCGGCCCGTTTCATAACAATCAGGGGCCTGGGGTAGGCGGGGGCTTGCGGGTAATTGATATCAAATCCCGGTCTCTCTCACTTCCGCTCAGTCGGGTTTGGCCAAAGACGACTATCTTCCTGGACTGCCTTCTCCCACCCCAACCCAGACACCAAGGGGACGCGACAGCGGTTTGGGGACGCTGGCTGGTCGTCTGCGAGGAGGCGATCCCGGCCCCGCTGGGTGTTCAGGATCCCGGTCTGGGCACCGTCCACCCCGCAGCGCCGGGGGCAGGGGTGAAAGCGGAACAAGCCAGCGGGGCTGGCTGGGCCGCCACCTCCGGGGCACGTGGCCTCAGACAGTGCCCGTGCCGGGAGTGCAGCCAGCCCTGCGGCGGGGAGGCGAGTTCTCCCTGCGGCCGCGCGGACCCCGAATGGTGGCATCGCCCGAAGACGCGCCCTGCCCGCCTGGGTGGGGTTGCCTTTTGCCCTCGAGGCTGGCCTGAGCGCTGGAGGGCCGCTGGCTAACACTGAGGTAGATACTCGGGAAACGGGTGGAATAGGGACAGGGACTCAGCCCTTCCGCCCTTTCCCCCAGTCACTGCCCTGGGGGTGCAGACGCCTCCAGTTTCACTCCCCTGGGTCTCGCTCGGGCAGAAGACGAGATTGTAGGCCCTACCCCAGCGCCGAGGCCCTGAGGTGGGAGGGGACGGGGAGTCTCCGCTGCGACCGGCGGCCCCTCCCTCAGGCACCTTCTCCTAACATTTCTGACGAAACG